CTACTCTTAGTCCACGGAATTGTGCTACTCTAACTTCACCATAGCCTCCATTACCAAGGACTGTCTCTGTCATTCTTATTTCATCTCCATTCACTACCCATGCTGATTGCTGCTCTTCAAGTTGACGGTCTTTCTCTTCAAGTTCCTGTTGACTTTGTTTAAGTTGCTGTTGAAGTTGCTGCTCTCTCTCTCGAAATTGTCTTTCCATATCATCATTTTGTATACATAACTCTTGAATCTTTTGCTGGAGTTCTCTCTCCATTTCTTGAAGTTGTCTCTCCATTTCTCTCTCTCTTTCCCTGGCCTGTTGATCTCTCTCTTCCATTTGAAGGTGTAATTGTTGAATCTCTTGCTGGTGTCTTTCTTCGATTGTGCTGTCTCTTTCCCCTTTCTGACTGATCTCTTGTTCAAATGGTCTCCTTCTCTTTCTCATTTCTTCTTGATACTGCCTCAATGAGTATGTCTTCACAGAAATATCACCTCTTTTATTGTATCCTTTATATAATAAAAAAAATGATTCATTTACAGTTATAGTTAAAATTAATATACTCACTGATATTGAGGAATATAGTTTCACTGATAGTATCACTTGCCCTATCTCCTCCAAACATTATTAGCCAAGTATTGGTTGTACCTTCGTTCCAAACTGATAGAGAATGACAAATCCTATTTTTTACTACGTTAGGAACACCAACCTATAGTGTACACATAACAACATCACAACAACAACAACAACAACAACAACAACAACAACAATAGTCATAGTCAGACTAATAGTAATCACGCCTGACTATTATAGTACTAAGTCCCATTGATGTACCTTCTTCCAATTGAGTTTATTATAGATAACATCAAGTGTCATACATATTTTGTCACCAATAGCCAAAAGGTTTATTGCTAAAGGACTAGCCAGCACTACTTTAGGAGATAGCATCGGCATATATAAATCTTGAGGTAATGATACATGTATATTTACACAGACCTAATATGTAAAGTAAACAAATTATGTGATTTTAAATAGTACCTGTCATATTTATTGTATAGACCCTATAGGGCGCTAAGTTCTGCAAGTAATTATTGCATTACGGTATCCACCCACACTCATGATTTGGACGGCAAGATACCGTGTAGCTACATAGGGAAACAAGGAACAAGAGGCCTTCGTGGCTTCCAGAGCTTGTTTGGGTGGCAATAAATGCCAGTAACAGTGAAGAATAGAGCCCAGAATGTCTCCTGAGAAAAAGCTTCATTGCACTTGAAGCCACTTGTCCACAAAGGCTGCTTTTGGCCTCCTATCCATTGGTTTTGCCTGGTTTTGCCGTCCAGCAGGAGAATTTCGAAATTTTTTCATTAAAGAATGCGGATAGGATACGGAAGATTACGAATAGTGTCTCATATACGGTATCTATAATTGCTTCTAGAAGTTAGCGCCCTATAGGGTCTATATAACATACCACTGATCCTTTAGCAAAGGTAAGACGACAAACAAAATGTTCTTTAAGTAAAATAGCACTGGTATCATCTATTGATATTAATTCATCAATTCCAGTAATATCATCTCCAGTAATTTTAGGCAAGATCCACTGACCTATAATAATTAATAATTAATCAATTAAAAGTTATGAAATTTTAAAAATTCTGCTACTGCTATCTATAAAATTTACCTGTAGCAACTCTAAAATAATAAATACAATTAGATCCTGGCTCAATTATTACAAGGTAATCTTCTCCCTCAATCTTGACAGCAATCATACCACATCCATACTTCTCCTTAGGGCCATTCTCAGGATTATTAGGTACAACTTTCCTCCATTTGAGAGTATCAACATTTAAACTGTACAGAACATTATCATCATAGCGACCATGACTACAATATCCTCCATAATAGAATATCTCATTCCCAATAGCAACAGCGACATAGTTTACGATACCCAGTGGAGGATCACCAGTGGTAGGTTTCTGTTCCCACCTACCAGTTGGAAGGTGAAGTACCTCTACAACTGATGAATTTTTTCTTTCTGTCTCAATATTGTGATCTTCAAGACCAGATCCTAAGTCATCTTTCTCCCCACCCCACATGTAAAGACAGTCTCCTACTATTACTGTAGAATGCAGCTTTCTCTCAGCAGGTTCATAGTCTATATAATAATAGCATAAAGTATAATCAACAGCACATAACTTACTGAAGCTGGTGGTTGCTGCTTTTAGGGCTGACATTCTCAAGGCCATTCTTTGTTTTGTTTGTTCTGTGCGTTTTTCGAGGTCATTTCAGAGAAAATTCATAGTTAGGTGTGGCTCGTAGGTCATCAAATATTATAATGAATAATAGTAATTACAGGAAGACAAACAAAATAGATAACACATTACGAATAATAAAAAACAAGAACAACAAAAAGCTAGAACACAACACAACAACAACATGATAATAATTGTTATCATTTCAAAATCTAAAGTGTATCAATCAATAATAAAATTAAAATTGATGAGCTCAAAAATGAAAATGAAAATAAAAATGAGAGAGAAAGAAAAAGGAGAATAATCAGAGAGAGAGAGAGATAATAAATAGTCTTAGTAAAATGCAATAAGTAGTTGCAAGATGAAGGTTTTGAAGACGAGTTGATTCTTCAAATATCTAAAGAGGAGAGGAGAGAGGAATTCAAAAGTTATTAGTTTATCATTAAAATGGTTTTGTGCTCCCAGATTTAAAAAAAAATATTTTTAACGAAGCCCCCGAACTTGTTTATGTTACCCGTTTGTCCAGTTCTCTTTTGCTGTCTCTCTCTTTCTTGAAATTGTCCTTGAAGTTGTTTCTCTCTTTCTTGTAACTCTCCCTGCATTTCTTGAAGCTCTCTTTCTTTTTCTCGTGATTTTCTCTCCATTTCTTGAAGTTGTCTCTCCATTTCTCTCTCTCTTTCCCTGGCCTGTTGATCTCTCTCTTCCATTTGAAGGTGTAATTGTTGAATCTCTTGCTGGTGTCTCTCTTCCATTATTCTTTCTCTTTCTCCTTTCTGACTGATGTCTTGTTCAACTGGTCTCCTTCTCTCTTCCATTTCTTTCTGATACTGGCTCAATGAGCACGGCCTTGCAGATACATCACCATCTTCATTGTAGGCTGCATGTACATTATAATAAGAAAAATTGTTCAGTAGGTGGCTTAAAAATTGAATATAAACATTTATATAATATGAATGCAAGTACAATAGCACATTTACATGAACTGCTGTCATACTCACTGATATTGAGGAATACAGTTTCACTGATTTTAGTGTCATCTGTCCTATCTCCTCCAAACATTATAATCCAAGTATTGGTTGCACTTTCATTCCAAACTGATAGAGAATGATATGTCCTATTTTTGACTAGGTTAGGAACACCAACCTAATGTATAGTAACACACAATAATAATAATAATAATAATAATAATACTTACCTTCTTCCAATTAAAAGCAGTTTTATTAACATCAAGTGTCATACATATACTCTTCCCAATAGCTAACAGTTTTAGCCCTGAAGGACTATCCAGTAATACTTTAGGCGACAATGCCATATATGATTCTTGATGTAGTGATGCATGGATATTTGTACAGACCTATATCAGGATAATCAGGTTCAATAATTAAAATATAATTATCATTGTATTCACATCATACCACTGATCCTTTAGTAAAGGTAAGATGGCAAACGGAAGCATTTG